TTGCTAATTATATTCACCGACTACATGATAGGTGTTAAAATGCAAAAGTAACCAGTTACAAAATAGTTATACAGAAATATTGCCCTTGGACTTTGGTTTCTAGTAATAGGGCAGGAAACGTTTCCAGATTGACCCTCTTGCTGAAAACAATTTAAAATACTGGATTAAAAATTATTAAAAGCACTGATACCTGGCAAGAAAGAAAGGAACATGCAGGTAATAGATTGAGTAAAGATGTAAACCCAGAGAGGTAGGTACAGCACCAAAGCAGGCTTTGACATTGCGAGTTCTGGCCTAACCAATGTGAACTTGAACTTCAGTGTCTTCTTCAGGAGAAGAAAGCCAGGGACTGCCTAAGGGAAAAGTCTAAAAGAAAGTCCTAGTAACATTAGGAGCCCAAAGGGCTATAGTCTCAGGGGACTGAAATAAAAATTGCCCTCTGAACGTTTGCACTGAGAAGAAAGGAAAGAGATACCCTCAGTAAATTGTGACCACAGGTGGCTCTTTAGAGCATTGGCAGCCCAAATTAACAGTTCTTGGGTGTTCGATACCTGAAACCAATAATCTAGTGATTTTAGACAGGTTCGGTAAGTGCCCACAGCTGACAGACAGAAGCAAAAGCCAATTCTCTACACTAAATTTTTAAGGAATATGAGCAATAAGCAAAAGAAATGCTGAAAAATGCAAGAAAATATGGTACCATTAGTGAGAATTAGAAGAAAAAAATAAGAGCAAGAAGAAACAGACCTACAAAGATTTCACATGTTAGTTACAAAATATAAAATAGCTAATGATTACTATATTTAAAGAAATATTGGATAATTAAAAAAATACATATGGGAACAAAAAAACTGTGAAAAATGGCCAAGCAGATTTGAAATAGTGTCTGCATTTAAAAAATACATAAATAAATAACTCATAAGAGTTGTTTAACAAACATTAGATCCATCTGAAGAAAAAACCTAAGGGAAAAATGAGTACAGAATTTAAACAGACATTTCACGAAAGAATATATCCAAAGGGGCAAGGAACTAATGGAAAGGCCCTCAAGCCTATCAGTAAACAGGGAAATGAGACATCACTACACATCCCAGGGCCTCTGTTTGAAGTAAACTCTTCTTTCTCTGCTCTACTCCCAACCTTAGTTCTTAGTTCTCATTTGGTCCATTCTTGCACATCTATGGGTATGTTGATCAAGTACGCTTGTCTTTGCCATTTTTGTGCCTATTGGATTGATTTAAGGAGTAATGTGATGAGTTATCTCTCATTGGAAAAGAAAAGCCATTTCATCACATGTCTGCTTTACCTGGACCCTTACAGACCCTTACAGCTTACTTCAAGGGACTTCATGCTAGTGAATATTGATGCAAATGTATTCATGCTGGCCTGGGAGGAACTTGTCTTTTCCTCATCTTTGCTACTGAGCCACCCTAAGATCCTGGCTGTGAAACACCTACAGAAAGTGGTGGTAATGAATGGAGATCTCTGAGGCCATTGGAGAGTGCTATGTGACCTGGCACTGCTTTGAGCAACACCCCCAAAAAACAGGAGAGGAGGAGGCTGGGGACTCTTCTTCCTCTGCTACAGTGGTTGAGCACCCCTGAGACCTTGTCCCTCACCCCAGGCCTGGTGGCATTTCTCACGAGTACAGAGCTTAACTCTTCTGACCACAAAGCATGATGACTGCTGTGCTTAGGGACAGCAGGCAGGAGCACGGCAGGAGGGCACGGGATGCAGACACATGGAGGAGGAGGACAAGAGTGTGTGAACTCCTTCAGCAGGGAGATACCACTGTGGCTCTAAGAAGGCCCCTGTGCAGGTGTCCTTGGGGGCACTGCTCTAGGAACCCACAGGGCTCCTGTTCTGGTCCACTTGATCCCTGAGGACCCTGTAGAGGAAGTCAGAGTGCACTTTAAGCTGCAGCCTGCAGCCTTGCCTGGGGTTGCCTAAGGTGACAGCAAGAGGTGGTAGTGGGGACTCTTCTGGGGTAGGGAGCCTCTTTGTTCACATTCAGCACAATCATATCAACTGTTGACAGGGCCTGAGACCCTTCTGCCTGCTGTGCTGAAATTCATGCCTCAAACCTGGCCCTCATCTCCCTGGGGTCCCCTAAAAGGAAGAGAAGGAGCACCTCAGCCCACCACCCCTGCCAGGGATCAACCAGTGCTGACAGCCCAGTGGGTATATGCTCTGTCCTGGGCTTATTGGAGGTCCCTCTACTGACTTGAGAGTTCAAAAGCCTCTGAACAAGGCTCTCTCACCTCCCTGCCCCCTTAGAGAGGGAATTTAGGGCATACCACACTTGGCTACCCAACAACAGGGCCCAGGCACTGCCCGTGCCACACACCCCCCACTTTTGGAGAAAGGTCCCCGGGTTAGCACTTGGGCTTCTTACTTGGATTAAGGTTAGGGCCCAGGTCCCCTTCATCTGTAGAACCCTTAGACCAAGGCCCTCCCCTCCCTGAGACCCATCAGTGACATAGCTGACTGCTGTCCCAGGGCTGAGAGCAGGGGTGGGACACTGGGCGGTCCCTTTAATTATGGGCAGAGTGGTCCTGTCGGTCCACATTTAGGATCCTCATCCAGATACCTGACCAGTCCTGGAATTCCATCCTTCACTTTCCTGAGCCCACAGACCTCAGACCAAAGTCTTCACCTTCCTGAAACTTCCAAGGCAAAAGTCAGGATGAGCCACATCCGGCCAAGGCTGTATGGGACCTCCCAGGACTATGACCAGGGGCGGGACAGTATGCAACCTGGACGGGGGCCCAGGACAGGTGATGGGCTGACAGGGATCAAGCCAGCTGATCTATTTTTTTCCCCTTCACCAGCCAGACTTAGCCTCTGAAGTCACTTTGGTTCTAGCGGATTGATTTTCTACAGGGAAGGGTCAGAGCAGGATCACTGAGTGAGCCCCTGATCTTTTGAGGTGAGCCAACATTGCCTATGTAGATTATCATATTGTTGTTGAATATTTTCCTTTTTCCTTATTCACACCACCCACTTATTTTTACATTCCTGTCACTCTGGCTATGTATTCCAAACCCATAGTTTGTGCACAGAGGTCTCTTTTTATTGCCTGAGATACATCTTGGAGTAGTGAAAAGAAATGTAAATTTCGACACACGAGATTTGCCTCAGGCTGGCAGGGGTGGGGTTAGTGTGGGCTTTAGGTGGATTCAGACAATGGGTCTAGTACCAGCAGCGTGAACACTCACCAGCAGTATGAACTCGGCCACACTGGCAAGCTCTATGAGCCTCAGGTTCTTCATCAGGTCTCATAAGCCCTGTTTTCTAGGACTGATGGGTGCACAGAATGTATGCTCTGGCCCCAGAACAGTGCCTGGCAAGTATTGAATTGTTTTTTTTAATTAAAAAGAAATTTTATTTTTTTAAATTAGCATATTCATTGTTACAAATCATACTTATTCTTTATGCCCCTTATCCAATCTCTCCTCTTCCCCCTCTTCCTCCTCCTTCCCCCGAGAATTTTTTTTAAATGGCAGTTATTACCATGATCGTTTTGACCCTAGACACTACCACACACCACGCCGGGATTTTTTTAGTTTTTAATCCAGGAGATGTCAGAGAACATGCAATGTTCTAGGACAAAGAAAACCAAATCAGCTGAAATGCTGCTTAGTAAATAAAACTAAGTAATAATTCTCCATTAGATGATCAGTCACTTGATGTGGGTGTGAAGTAGACTTCCCTGGTTAGATGCACCACGAAGCTCCTAGAAGATGTACAAAGGACCAACAAGTTCCCTCCTCCCTGCTGTCCTTGCATTTCATTCATCCCAATTTTCATTCATTTCACCACCACCAAAAAAAAAAATTCTCAATCCAGTTTAGAGTTTGCTGTATTATACAGAAGAATACCTAATTTGGGCTCCCTTTTAATGGAGCAGTCTGGCTCCCCTAGGCCAGGGCAAAGAGGGCCAGCCCTGTGGTTGCTGGGCATCCCACCTCAAGGGCATATCACCCCTATCCTCAGAAACTCCCAGACACAAAGTGCACAGAACACCTGCCTACTGCACCGTGTTCACCTGCACGGGGCCAGAGCACAGGAGTTCTTCCAGTCCTGCCTCAGATGGGGATTGCTCTCTGGTTTACCACACCCCTAAGGAACTGTTAGGAGCAGTTTTTCTTTGTAGACATAGTCTCTCCACTCTGAGACCCAGTATCTGGGTGTCTTGTCCCTGCTCACCATTTCAACAGCCTCGTCCAGTCCTGAATGCAGGCTAACTTCAAATTCCCTCCCACTGAGGGACTGGCAGTTTCCCAAGCTCCCAACATGCTTTGTCCCAGGGCATACATGCTGGGCTGCTCCTATCTGGAATCTTCTCTCTCCCGATGCCCTCTTTTTATTGTCCTTTAGGTTTGACAGTGCATATCACCATGTTCCTTACATGACAGCTGCTCTTGGGCTCTAAAATGTTACCGGCAGGGGCTGGGTCTCCTTTGTCTACACGTCCCTGGAAACTAGCATGAAGCCTTTCAAAGAGCAGATGCTCAATTCATGTTTGGGGTAAAAAAGAGCCAGTGAACAGGAGTTCTCATTTATGATGATTGAATTTCTCCCATATTCTTGAACAAGCTAAGCAAATCCAGGTATATATCTTTTAATTTTACCAAAAGAAAAGACTAGTAGGAATAACAAAAACCAAGAATAGACTACCTTTTATTTATTTATTTTTCCATCATCTCATCACCCCAACTATTTCACTGTGGTGTTCTTTTGCATTTTAAACTTGATAAACGGCAATAATTGTGTGATCCATGTCATTCATGAACTTAGATTCTCAATCTAAATAAATCTCTTTCAAATAAATGCATTGGAAAAAACAGAAAAAAAAAGATAAACCTACGAGTTACTTACGAATAACAGGAACACAATGAAGATACACATTGTGCTATCTCCAGCCCCACCTCGTCCCCGGCCACTTAGAAGGCTGACGGCCCTTTTCAGCCTCAAAGTGAAAACTGCCTCACACATCACTAGGGCCGGGAGGAACTGCTGGTCATGGCCCTGGAGTGGGCACTGGCTGGGACAGTAGTGCCAGCCCTGGCTGCAGCTCTAACTTGGGCTCGCTCTTCCTCATCTCTCAAAGCCTCCTCATAGTGGGACTGGAAGCTACTGGGAACAGTATCATTGACTTTGGCCAAAAACTCCAGGACTTCCATCTTGCTGGTTTCAGCACAGGCCCTTGGACCCCACAAGAATTCGTAGCGTGGAGGATCACTGTTGGGCACCTGCTGGTACTCCAGGTACTTTTCCCGCACCAGATCTTCAGTGATGAACTTCCGGGGCTCCCCAAAGATGAAGTGCCTCCTACCTTCATATACTCCCAACACATTCAGGAATTCCCACATCTCCTCTTCAGTGACACGGTTACCATTCATGAAGATCACAGCCAGGAGAGGCATCAGGAGCCCATTCTTGGGAAAGCCCTCGCCATCGCTCAATCTTCCTTCATTGGGAAGAGCCAGTTTGCTGACAAGGGCATAGGACTGATCACTAGAGCTCACTTCCTTAAGATCAAGGCCAAAGACTAGCTCCATGTGCTCAGTGGCTCTCCGGAGGATCTCAGGGAAGTGCTCCCTGTACTTCTTTCTGACAATCTTCAGCATGTCTGCCTTCTTAATGGGCTCTTTCATTTTATACTTCAACAGAAGGAACTGCACCAACGTGCCCACCTTCCTGGTCAGAGGGTCTCTTCCTGTGCTCTCAGAGGAGGGCAGCCCATGGGAGGAGCTTGGACTTTCCTCCTCTTGGCTCTTGGCACCTTCATCTGAACTTGGCCTTGAAATAGCTAAAGCAGGAGGGCTGGTGGATCGGGCTCTCTGAGTCTCCTGGGGAATGCCTGTAGGCAGAAGGCTCTGGGAAGCACTCTCAGAAACAGGAGAGAGGGAGGCTGGGGAGTCTTCTTCCTCTGCTACAGTGGCCTGAGCACCCCCGAGATCTTGGCCCTCCCTTTGAGCCTGGCGGCGTTTCTCACGGGCACGGAGCTTACTCTTCCGACCACGAGGCATGATGACTGTGCTCAGGGGCAGCAGGCAGGAGGGCACAGGGCATAGGCACCTGGAGGAGGAGGATGAAAGAATGTGAGCCCCTTCAGCAGGGAGATACCACCCTGGCTCTAAGAAGACCCCTGTGCACGTGTCCTTGCGGGCACTGCTATAGGACCTCATAGGGGTCCTGATCTCCTGCTCAGCCTCTCCCCTGTGGATTCTGCAGAAGAAGTTAGAGTGCCTCGGGCTGCAGCCTGCCAGCCTTGCCTGGGTCCACTCTTCTCAGACCAGGACCCTCAGTTCTCTGTTTTCCCTGAGGAGGAACTGAGGGGAGCCTCTGCCTGACATCTATGCCTGGGGCCTCTCAGGGCTGAAATAGGAAGGGATTCTGAGATGCTCCTGCTGTATGGGGTAAGTCATCCCCACACTCTTTAGGGTCCTCTCTGTGACTCCTGTCCCAATCTGTAAATCACCCTCTGCTCATCTGAAACCCCTCCCTTCAGGTCAAGGTCCTCACCTTCCTTGAGACCCCCAAAGTGAAAGAAAGCATGAGTCACCCCCCAGCCACCCCTGTTCATGGCCTCCCTGGATTGGTAGCAGGGTCTGGATTCTCAGAGCTTCTGATGTTCTGGGGTTGATGGCCTTGTTAGTCCTCACTAAGGCAGGACCTGGGACTTGTCCCTTAGCCCACCAGAGTCCTCCAGCCTCAGACCAAGGCCCTCACCACCCTGAGTCTCCAAGGCTAGAAGTGAGGAGCATCATATCTGATTACCTCTCCTGGGGTTTCCCAGGGCTGAGAAGGAAATAGGATTCCGTGGTGACCCCCTGTTCTCGGTGGGAGTGCTCCTCAGTCCTCACTAAGGGTCCTCACCCTGACTCCTGTCATGACCTGGAAAACATCCCTGTCTTGATCTGAGGCCTGTTTCCTCATACCAAGCCCTCAATTTGGAAACACCCCTAGGAAGAACTGATCGTAACCTCAGCTGGCCACGACCACTCATGGTATCCCAAGGCTTAAAGTAGGGGACGTACCCTGCATTGGCCCCACAGTTATGAGGTGGGTGCTGCCCTCCGTCCTCACAGTCCTCTCCTTGCCTCCTGGCAAGAACTTAAAACCCTTCATCAAATGACTTGAGGCTGTCCCCTTTAACAGGTTCTTCACCTCCCTGAGGTGCCTTGGGAAGAAATGTCAACAAGTGCGGGTCTCCCGGGTGTGACATTAGGGGTGGGGCTCCGTGTGGCCCACTTCTTTCTGGGAGGAGTTCCCTCATCTCACTCAATGTTCTTACCTTGACCCCTGTTAGGGACTAAGTCTCCTCCCTCTGGTGAATGGGGCCTCCCCCATTAGTGCAACGAATGCATCTCCCTTCAGGAAATGAGGGGTCACCTCATCCTGACAGCTGCAGTAAGGAAAAGACTTTATGTGGCCTCCTCTATTCTGCGGTGGTTGTTTTCCTCATTCCTCATACAGGATTTTTACCTTCAATCCCAGCACAGCCTGGGCTCTTCTCTCTGCTCACCTGGGGCATCTAGTCCTTAATCCAAGGCCCTCATCTATTGAAAGAGGATCTTCAACATCTGCAGGTTGAAGTCCAGGGCACTTGAGCCTGTTAGCTCTGCCCTGAGCCTCCCAGGGCTAACCCCAGGGCTGGGGCTTAGTGCAACCCTCTCCACTGGGGGCTGAGTGGTCCCCATTTCCTAATTGAAGACCTTCACCTTGATACCTGATCAGTCCTGGGACTCCATCCTCGGCTGACCTGAGACTACATCCTTCACAACATCCTTGCTTCAATGGTACCTGAAGAGTTGGAAGTTCAGGGTAAGCCATGTCTTGTAGAGGCTGTTTAGGGCCTATAAGGCCTAAGAGTGGGGATGGGACTCTATGGGCTGCCACTGTTTCTGGTGGTGACCAGGCTTCTAACCTTGGTTCAGGGCAGGACCTCCAAGTCCTCAGTCCATTGACCTGAGTCAGCCAGGCCCAGGCCAAGGTCCTCACTTCCCAGAGTCATTAGAAAGAACACACCACATCTTGCTACACCTGCTGGGGGTCTCTCCGTCCTGACTGCAGAAGAAACCAGGCTCTGGTCGGCCCTCTATCTGCCCCCTGTTTAGGGGAGGGGTCCCTTTATTAGCATTCAGGGTCCTCACTCCTGTTAGGGCCTAGGTCTCCTTCCCTCTGCAGAATTGGGGCCACCCCTTAGATCAAGCCTTCCTCTCCCTGGAACCCTTCAGGCAGAAATCACCACCACAGCTCTGTGAGGGCCTCCCAAGGCTGGGGGTTGGGCGGCTGGGGGTGGGGAGCACTGAGAGACAATCCCCTTGGTTAAGGGCAGGGTAGTCCCTTCAGTCCACATTCAGGATCCTTAGCTTGATTCCTGACCAGTCCTGAAATTCCACCCTCCACTGACCGGAAGTCGTGCCCCTCAGACCAAGGTCCTCACCTTCGGAAACTTCCAAGGCAGAAGTCAGAGTTAGCCACATCGGCCAAGACTGTGTGGAGCCTCCCAGTTATCAATCTGAGCCTGCGACTTCTCCCTCTTCCGAACTGAGACCACCATTATCCCACCCTCCTGCCTCCCTAGACAGCGAATTCAGAGCACACTGCATCTGGCTACCCCTGCCTGGGGCCTCCAGTCCTGACAGGAGGGGTGGGCTCTGGTTGGCTTCCTCTTTTGGGGACAGGTCCTCTCATTAGTCCTCAAGGTCCTCACCCAGACTCCAGTTAGGACTCAGGTCTCCTCCTTCAGTAGAAGTGGGGGCTGCTCCCTTCAGACAGAGTCACTCTCCTGCTTAGACCCTCCAGGCAGAAATGAGGGGATCTTGAACTGAGTGCTCTGCTTGGCCAAGGACTAAGAACAAGGCACCAAGAATGTGTGACTGTCTTTGCTGATGGCAGTTTCCTCCTATCACTATGTCTTCACCCGGACTCTTCTTGGTTCCTGGATCTCCACTCTCTACCGAACTGGTGCTGCCCCCACTAGGCCAAGGTGCCCCTCCTCTTGCTACCTTTCAGGCAAAATGAGGGTCTTCTCAACCTGACCACTCTGCCTGGGCCTCCCGGGTTACAGGAGAGGTGGTGAGTGAGGTGCTGGGGACTTTGTGGTGCCTCATCTGTTCTCATGTGAGTGGTTCCCTTATACCTCCCTAAAATTCCTCACTTTGAAACTGACTAGTCCTGAAACCTCAGTGAAGTGAGCTGCTCCCCTCAGATCAAGGTCTTCACCTTTCTGGGACCATGATGACTTCCAGACCTCCAAGGGTTGACATCCAGGGTGGGACTCTATGGGACCCCACTGATCTGGCTGGGTCTTTCCCTCATTCTTCATTCAGGGTCATCACCTTGATATCAATTAGACACTCACAGTCCTTCCTCTACTAACCTGAGGTTGTTCTCCTTAGAGGAAGTCTCTTGTGTTCCTGAGAACCTGAAGGTTAACTGTGGGGACGCTCAGTCTCACAGACCTGCTTGTGGCCATCGAAGTCTGAGAGCAGGCATGGACTGGTCTCTGTGGGGTCCCCTATATTCTGAAATGTTGGTCTCCCCAGCCCACCTACAGCTTGGCTCATGTTTCCTTGCTTAAAGGCTTCCTGGGAAATGCCACATCCCTGCAAACTCTTGAGCAGTTTCCCGACTGCCAACCTTGCAGAGAATGGTTCCTTGGCCCAGGAGTGATGGGAGAAGGGGACGCTGTAGCTCAAGGCAAGGGGCCAAGGACAGGTGGTAGGCTGTTGTGTTAGAGTGGGAAAAACACACACTGTACTGTTTTTCCCTCTATGCTGTTACTCAACAACAAGCAACACCACAGAAGACCAACTTCTGTCACCAGATGTGTGAGGATTTCTCCCCACTGGCAAGCAAGCCATAAATTCTTCAGCAGACACTAGCTGGTTGTCCTCCAATTTAACACTGATGTTATCTACCTGGAGATAGCATCAGATCCCACAGGGTGAGGGCTCAGTCCCCAAGACTGCCCCCCACTTCAGATGCCAGTCGGAAGTCCAGGCCTCTGGAACTTCTGACCAACCAGCAATAAAACAGGGTTCCCACAACCCCTTCCCTGGATTTGACTAATTTCCTTGAACAGCTCACAGAACTCATAGAAACATGTACTTACGTTTACCGGTTTACTGTGAAGGATATTACAAAGGTTACAGACGAAGAGTTGCAGAGGGCGAGGTATGGGGGTTGGGGCGCGGAGCTTCCATGCCCTCCCTCGGCGCCACTCTCTAGGAACCTCCTTGTGTGCAGCTATCAAGAAGCTCTCCAAACCCTGTGCTCTTGGGTTTTTGTGGGAGGCTCATTACGTAGGCATGACTGAAGCATGGACCACCGTGTAGAAATGTGATTGGACAAAGAGGGCCTGATCTAACACTAACAGCCTGGGTGGGGAAACCCAGCACAGCCTGTCCGTTCAGGTTCTCCTTGGCCACTCTGTGCAGCATTCCTTCCTCCCAGGCATGGGCAGGGACCCTCCTGAAATGGGGGTCTTATGACCTACCATCAGACAAGGTAGGTCAGAGAATTTCCTGCCTCAGGGAGATAAAAAGAACAGGTAAAAGGAGAGCAGGAAAAGGTTAGAGAACAATGTGAGCCAGGAACTGTGGACAAAAATCAATAGATAAATATCACAATGCCACAGCTATCAAGGATAAAGCCAGCTGACCTATTCCTGTCCTTCAACAGACAGACTTAGCCTCTGATGTAACTTCGGTTCTAATTGACTTTTTACAGGGAAGGGGCGGAGCCACATGACTTTGTGAGCCCCTGATCTTCTCAAGTAATCGAACATCAGGTATGTACATGATCACATGGTCACTGAATACTGTCTCTTTTCTTCATTCATGTCTCTCATTTATTTTGGTATTCTTTTTGCTCTGGCTATGTTTTCCAAAGCAGTAGTCTGTTCATAGTGTCTTTCTTCTTATTGCCCGAGCAACAATTTGGAGTAGGGACAAGAAAAGTGAATTAAGAGACACACAGTCTGTCTCAGGCTGGGAAGAGTGGGACAGTGTGGCAGTAGTTTAATTTTAAATAAAAAATATTGGGGATTGTTGACGAGAAATTTTATTTTGTAGTTCCATGGCTTTCCCCAGCATATTTCCTGGTTAAAATGAGCCTCTGTGACAAGTGAGGTTCTTGTACTCACAGTGATGTGCATTAATGTACATCACATTAGAAACGTACATCACATTAGAAACGTACATCACATTAGAAATGTACATCACATTAGAAACGTACATCACGGGGCCGGCCCGGTGGCGCACTGCTACAGTGTGCCGCTTGGGAAGCGCGGTGGCGCTCCCGCCCAAGGGTTCGGATCCCACATACAGACCGGTTCCCGCTCACTGGCTGAGCGAGGTGCGGGCGCAGCACCGAGGGTTGCAATCCCATTGCCGGTCCTGGTCCGGTACGGGCGCGACACTGAGGGTTGCGATCCGTTGCCGGACACAAAAAAAGACAAAAAGAAAAAAAAAAAAAAAGAAACGTACATTACAGTGAAGTACATTAGAAAGCTCTCAGAACCAGTCCAGAAGGCTGTGGTTTCTTTCCCTCTTGTCTGGAGTGGGCGTACTTTTTTAATAATGGTGGATTATATCAATATTAGTTGGTGCTACTAGTCAGTGTACTTTCCTACAGTTTGGGTTTGCAATTGGACAGCTGCCTCTTACAAACACTGACCTTTATGCAGATGCTTGCAGCTCATTAACCTTCTCAAGAAGCTCACCCACCCACAACACAGTGGAAGGGTGTCCCTATACAGCTGGAAAAGTAGTCCTGGCATGGGAATGCATTTTCACTGTTGAGTGACTCTGTGAACCACAAAGGGCAGTTGTTTGTTTGAGAGTTCTGTTGAGAATGATAAGTAAGATAAATATTAGTATTTGCCTAAAAGGCAGAATTGATGAACTCTGACTCTTCCTTGCCTTGCTTTGGCTACTCATGCTCTAGGCTGTGCTTATGAGAAACTGACCACATAGAGCTCCAGAAAGGGAATTGTGTGGTTTTTGTTCACTGGTTCTGGCACTTTAATAGACACTAGGGATGCTCCCCCCCGCCCCCCCAAAAAAAGAGAAATAAAGAAAGATAGATTTAAAAAGAAAAAAAAAGGTTCCTGCCCCTAAAAAGCTATATTAGTCTCATGCAAGGGTCAGCTAACTAAGGCATTCAGGCCAAATCTAACCCATTTGTTTTTGCGAATATGGATTTATTAGAACACAGCCACACTCATTTGTTTACGTATTATCTACAGCTGCTTTCATGCTGCAACAGTAGAATTGAGTGGTCGTGACAGAGACTATATATCCCTCAATGCCTAAAACATTTACTATCTGGCCCTTTACAGAAAATGTTTGCCAATCCCTGATCTAGTGGGAGAGACCAGCATTTACACAAGTAGATATAATTCAGAGCAGGATGTGATAAAAGATAGGAGCCATACAGAAAAAAGTGCTGTGCAAGCACCGGGCAGCAGGAGGGCTTCATGGAGAGAGAACATTGAAGCTGAGCATTGAGAAATGGGTTAGATTCAGGCCAGCTGAGAGACAAGAGGACATTTCAGGTGAGATGGTCCTCATCTCTGTCTGCTCATTGCAATCACTTGGGGAGCTTTGGCATAGGGATGCCTGGGTCCCCCCTCCTAGAGATTCTGACTCAAGTGTTCAGAGGCAGGGCCGAGCATTAGGGTTTTTCAAAGCTTCCCAGGTGATTGTGAGGGCAGCCAATATTGAGAAACACTGGGTAAAGAAAGTGTCAGGGAATAATTAGGAGCAAGGTATAAATGGAGCGAGTCTCCAGGTGCAGGTGGAAGGGATAGTGCAGTGGGAGGTACACTTGAGAAGGAAGGAGTCAACATACAAGCCAGGGAAATTGGATTTTGTCTTAGGAAAAGGGGACAATGACAGAATGTGGGCATGAGAGCAGCATGATCAGAGGTGTATATAAGGAAGTATAATCTAGAAAAAATATGAAGAATAAATCAAAATTAGAGCCTGTTGGGAGTTATTTGCAAGAGTTTAAGTAAAACAAGGAGCATATCTTATCTAGGTAGATTCAGAAGTGAGGGTCAAAGTTACAGCAACTTGGGCATGGCATGGACACCAGTCCAGCAGAGTGGCCTCCACTATTCAGTCCTGAGGTCCCTGCTCTGGGGGATTAACCCTTTACTTTCTGGATCATGGAGAAATAGGGGATCCTGGAGGAGAAGTTGAGGCCACAGAGAGGCACTTGGGCAGTTGGACGAGCAGCAGATTGCTGGGTACAGCCCTTGGAAGAGATACTCTTATATCAGACATTTTGAAGGGACATTTACAGACCTTGGGAACTAATTGATTGTGAGTGATCTGAGTGGAAGGAGCCAGAGATGATGGTAATATTTAGAGTTTAGACAATTGAGGGAGTTTTGACAGCCATTAGAAGGCAAAAAGGACACAAAAACAAGTGAAGGGTCTTGAGAGAGAGTAATTTTGGTTTTGAACGTGAGCGGTTGGCATCAAAGTGGGGCTGGCCTTTATTATTAGGCATCTGCACAATTTGGAGTGATTTCTATGTCCCCTTAAAATATGCAACAAGGCCAAAAATAAATGCAACAAGGCAGAAATTTCAAGACACTACAAGACCTATTGTTCTCTTCACAGTATTCAGATAGGACCCAACTGGTTTTAGCCCTTGGCTTGTGAGATATTTTCCCTTTTTTTTTGTCCAAGCAGAACTGCACTCTCCTGCTTTAAAGGAACAGCAAAGATGGTTTTGTCTGCAGTCAGGATTCTGCTTCTGTGAGGGCAGGTACACTGGACGTTTTAACAATCTCTTGTGACTTAGATAAAATCGGGGCAACAACATCTAATCAGAATCCCAATACCTCCTTTGATGGGCTTAATAGGCTCGTGGCTCTCAGTTCTTTGGTGAAAAAAATTAGGCAACAAGCAGATACAGTTTTTTTTTGTTTTTTTGTTTTTGACAAAAATTTCTCTTGGGAACTTGGGAAGCATGGCATGTACCATTAGTTGCTACCAGGTGAAATGAGCCTTTCTGGGCAAGGCATGACTTGAGTACAATGGACAACGGACAACAGCCATTTGTTGGTTGACCTCATTTATACACCACAAGAGAGGAAAAGTAACCAATTGTGTGGTGAGTCTTAACATGACTCTGGGCTGATCCAAGCAAGTACTCCTGTACTGACAGTTCTTGGAGAAGAGGGACACTAGGGAACTCTGCCACTCTCTATGGACAGAGTTTGAGTACATGGCGAAGGTGGTGAACATGGGCCACACCAGGAAAAGGATTCTAAGGCCATCAACCTAGAATGTGTTGGGAAATGTGTAGATATCACTAGATAGCATAGAGAAAGTACCAGGCCCAATGTAAATAAATTTCTTCACAGTATGTGATGTCCTCTGTCAGTGGTCACAAATTTAATATGCACAGGAATCATTTGGGAATCTGTTAAAAAGCAGATTCTGATGCAGTAGATCTGAGGCAAGGCATGAGAGTTTGCATTTTTAACCAGGTGATACCAACATTGCTGGCCCATGGACCACACTTTAAGTAGCAGTGTCCTGGGCAACTCCCCAGCTGTGGACATACCAACATAGACTGTTCTAGCAAAGAGCACACTGGTGAGTCAGAGCGAGTCCAGTCCCTCTGAGAGGCACTGAGGAGCACTGGACTATCACAGAAGATGGGAAGGGACACTGGGAAATGCACTGGAGAGGCCTCAAAGTTGATGCGCGCTCTGGAGAAGGTGTTTGACCTCCCTGACTTCGGCTCTGGGAAGGGGGAGGGGGTGTGCTTTTAAAAATTCGTTTTTATAATATTGAACACAATCCAGTCCATATGCAAGGGCAGAGTCCTGCTTTTGTATCGTTTTTTTTGCAAGATGTTATCCTATCTCTTTTTTGTAATAGAAGCCATTGTTTATAAATTTTGAGCTCAATGAACAGGAAGGGTCTCTGGCGTGTGACAACATAGTCCTGCATGGATGTGTCCTCCCTGTAGCAGAAGGGACTGACGAATCTCTGCTCACTTAACCCGCATCATTTCCAAGCCATTTAGTTTTCATTTTCCCAAACTGATGATGTGTGAAGACAAACCATGACACTTTCCTTTAGCTTCCTCATTTGTGAAATGAGGGGGTGTATCTGGGCATTCTCTGGGATATCTTCCAATTCCAATAATCTGTACTTCTAAGAGAATATTAAATTCTCTCATATTGCAATCTGGGTATTAATAAAGCTTTATTTTCTGACATGGTAGGTAGCATGCTTTACAAAGTCTAGAATTTCTTTTTTTTTTTTTTCCTTTTTGTCTTTTTTACTAACCGGTAACGGGATCGCAACCCTCGGTGTTGCACCCACACCGCGCTCAGCCAGTGAGCGGGAACCGGTCTCCACATGGGATCTGAACACTCGGCGGGAGCGCCGCCACGCTCCCAAGTGGCGCACTCTCCAGTGCGCCACCGGGCCGGCCCACAAAGTCTAGAATTTCTAATAAGAAAAATCACCTGGGCTTTGGTTGGAGCTCTGAGCAATTAACATGGACCAACCTTAAATGTCAATTTGGCCTTTTATGGCCTGAATATGTCAAAGATTTTAGTCTGTCCATCTTCCCGTCTAATCTAGGAAAGCTAGAAAAACAGGATTTGCTTCAGGCACAATTATGATCACCTTTAGCTATTTAAAGGTTGACATTTTCAGAAGGCATTTATAATTTAATCATGAGCTGTATGTGCCACACATCAAGAGGGTGGGGTGCATGGCAGGGGAAGTGGTGACATATCTGCGGAGCAGAGGACCTTCTCTCAAGATGGCCCTATGGTGGTGGCTGCATATAGCCCCACACTCGGGTGCTCCCTTGGCATGGCTGTCAGTGTGCCCCTCAAGGAATTTGTAGGCTGCATCTGATAGGCACCCCTGGTGTTACCTGTTCTCACCTGAAGTGCAGGGAGCTTAAAGAACCCCTATTTGCATCCACCAGAACTATGTCATTTTTTTGCTGTCAGCCTCCTTTATTTACAACTTTGTGATTGTGGCACTTCTCATGCTGCCTTATGTTTGCTGTTGAATATTTTAAATATTCCCAAAGACTTGATCACTGGCTAAGTCATTTCATGGACTTCATATAAGTAGGATTGGTGATGAAGGCAGGAAGAATTTGCCTTCAGATAATTGGCCCTACAGGAATGGATAAAACAATTCATGAATTAAATGCCAACTGTTCTTTCTGTCTTTGGAAAATCCAA